TAAAACACTAGCAGATCAAAGTTAGTGGCAAAATTTTTAAAATCAGTATTAGACTATGCCAAAAATCCTAAAAGGAAAAATTACTAATTAACATACTATATTAATAAAAAGAGAAGAATCATATAATCATCATTATAGATACAGAGAAAAAAAGCATTTAATATATTCAGCTCTCAAGTATGGTTTTAAAAAAACCTTTTAGCAAACTAGGAATAGAAGGGAATTTAATATCTTAAAGGGCATCTAGAATTCTGCAGCAAACATCACACTGAATGGCGAAATGTTAGAAAATTTCCCATTGCTATCATGAAAAGACAGGAATGCCTTCTAATATGATGTCTGATAAATATGTACTGGAGGTCCTAGCCAATGCCTTAAAAAAAGAAAATGAAACACAAGAATTAGAAAGGAAAACACAAAATTGTCTTTATTTATAGATGTCATGATTGCTGGCAAAAAAGAATCCACAAACTAATAGAACCAATAAGAATTCAGTCAAGTTACTGAAAGTAGTTTTTTTTTTTTTTTTGGAGACAGAGTCTTGCCCTGTCGCCCAGGCTGGAGTGCAATGGCATGACCTCAGCTCACTGCAACCTCTGCCTCCTGGGTTCAAGCGATTCTCCTGCCTCAGCTTCCCAAGTAGCTGGGATTACAGGCATGCGCCACCACAGCCGGCTAATTTTTTGTATCTTTTCACCATGTTGGCCAGGCTGGTCTCAAACTCCTGACCTCGTGATCTGCCCGCTGCGGCCTCCCAAAGTGCTGGGATTACAGGCGTGAGCCACCACGCCTGGCCCTGAATTCAGTTTTTATAAAATCATTGGCATTCTTAATTTCACTACATAACTTAAATATAACTTAAAACACACACACACACAATTCATAATAGCAATAGAAACTAAAAGGTACCTGGAAATAATCCTAACAAAAATTGGTGGTGATTACACTGGTGTTCATTTTAGAATTCTCTATATTTTTCTATGATGGATATTTTTCATAAGAAATGAAATGCTTTGATTCTACCAAATGCAATTAACTATATTACCATATAACAATAACAAAATAAAATCTCCTTTTGTCTCTATCCTAATGCCTTGTTCTGTAACAGGCTCTGCTGCTCCCTAGCTCTGTGACTTTAAGCAAGTTATTCAAGCCCTCTGAGCCTTCATTTCCTCATGTATTAACTGAAGATAATACCTTCTTTGCAGTGTTGTTGACAAGTTAAAAGAGCTTACTTAGCGCGGTGCATATGGAAGTAGTCAATGCTTGTCTATTTGATTCATTCATCTAACACATATCCATTGAGTCTCTGTTGTGTGCCTGGCACTGTCGTGGTCACTGGGTATAAAGCATTGGTCAAGACAGAAAAAATCCCTGCAAGATGGAGCTTACAATCTAGTGGAGGAGGCATGCAATAATAATTAAGTTAAATACAGGATATAGTATTTAACTTAGATGGTGAGAAATGCTAAGGAGATAAATAAAGCGGGATGTTCGCTATAACTGCCTCTCCCCTCTTGTTTTTGATGTCTGTCTCTCTCATCAGTCTTTCTGTATTTCCTTTTCATTTTTCCTGTCTTCATCGATTTGCACTATCCTCATTGCTGTGACACCCTGGTACTGAACTGTTTACTGCCCAATAATCTTAATGATTAATTTCTGCTTACTAAGAAGACTTAGCTTCTGTGGAGTCTGAGACTGAGCTTTATGGCTCCTTTGTAGTCAGAGCGCTTAGCACAATGGTTAGCAAGTAGCAGTAGCTCTACAAACTCTTGTTATTTCAAGGATTAAAATTTACAATGGAAAATTAACAGACTAACCGGTAACTGATCAGAGGCATTAATGAAGACAGCTTGAAGCCCCATGTCAAATCCGCACTTTCCCTAAAGTACCGGCTTCCAAGTTCAGCTCTGATGTTTTCTAAGAGTAATCTTAGGCAAGTTTCTTCACCTCATCAGATCTTTGTCTCCTTGTCTTATAAAACAGGAGGATGGAATAAAATGAAAATGTTTGTTCATCCTAAAACGACTAGCTTGGATTTTTATCATCTAAGCTTTCCATGTTAATTCATTATTTCATAGTACATTTCTCTCTTTCTATCCATGTTGACTTCAGATCAACATCCCAGCAAATAATTTCTTCATTTTGGAGACCCTTTTCTTATTTGATGCTATCTTTTGACTTCTTTGACTCTATGAACACAACAGTCGTGTCATGGGATCTTAGAACATAGTAGCAAAAGGGACCTTAGCGATAATAACAATAGTTACCAATTATTAAGCATCTAATAGATACTTTCCCTCATTTTAGTACTTCTATAATGTACATTTTACTGTCCTTTTAGAGAGCCGTAGTGCATAATGATTGAAGAGCAACTTCAGAGTGAAGACAGTCCGGGGTTCAAGTTTTGGTTCTGCCACTTAATGACTGTGTGACATTAGACAGCTACTTTAACTCCCTAAGCCTCACTTTCCTCCTTTGTAAAAGGAAAGTGTAACTTACCTCACATGGTTGTGATGAGGATTCAATGCCAAAATAAATCTCCGGTGGTTTACACAGTGGCTGCCACAGAGTCAGCAGTCAATAAATGTCGGATTTTGTTTTCAGTATTTATAAGCATTAGGGAGGGTAAAGGAACTCATCTAAAGTCTCAGATACTAAGTGGCAGAGCTAGGATCTCAACCTGGGCAGTTTAATCCACAGCCCGTATAATTACCCACACGGTGCTGTTCCTCCTCAGTGGCTCACAGGATCCCATTTCAGGGAAACTGATGGAAAGTTTAGTTTTAGAGACTGCATCTCACAATGACTGAGCAGAACCTGGACTTTGCTGAATTCCAAATGGGGTTGAAAAACCGACATAGTACTGGAGATGGAAGAAGGATGTGAAGGAGGTGCAGGACAGTGGACCCTGGCCTTGAGCTCTGTGGGAACAAGGACAGGAGTTTGTGGCAGGTTCTAGAGACAGAGGGTCATGTTCATGACCTGCTGGGCATCTAGTGGCCTTACAGTTAAGCCAGGGATTTTCCTCTCTAGCCTTTCTAGACCAAAAGAATTAACTGATCCGAGATGAAGGGTGTGGATGTATACAGAAGCCAGGTGCAGTTAAGGAGAAAATAAATAAATTTCACCAAGGAGTGCTCCAAAAGCCCCCAACTAGCCTCCACCACCTTATTTCTGAGACTTGGAGAGACCTAGTTCCCAACTCAAGTGGCCCCTCTAGGGGCCAAGTCACTTATGCCATCTCGGCCTTATTTTCCCATCTGTGCTATGAAGATATTGAACTAAATGACTTATAGGGGAATGGGAACAGATTATGGAGCCAGACCAAACTGAGGCAAATCCCTACTTGATCACTAATGAAGAGACTCATTTCCTCATTGGTAAGGGAGGATAATACCACCTACCTTACAGTTTGTTGTAAGAAAGAAACATACGTTCAGTGCTTAGCAGAGTTTTTGGGACAGAGTAAACGCTCAATAAACAGTAGATATGATGATGATAATAATGGTGGTGGTAATGATCATGACGAAGATAGAATGACAAAAAAAATAATGCCAGAGTGTCTCATAAAGTCTCTAAAAGGCCGGGCGTGGTGGCTCATGCTTGTAATCCCAGCACTTTGGGAGGCCGAGGTAGGTGGATCACCTGAGGTCAGGAGTTTTAGACCAGCCTGGCCAACATGGCGAAACCCACCTCTACTAAAAATACAAAACTTAGCCAGGTGTGGTGGTCCGTGCCTATCATCACAGCTACTAGGGAGGCTGAGGCAGGAAAATTGCTTGAACCCGGGAGGCAGAGGCTGCAGTGAGTCAAGATAGTGCCAATGCACTCCAGCCCAGGCAAGCGAGTGAAACTCCATCTTAAAAAAAAAAAAAAAAAAAAGTCTCTAAAAAAGCAAACTAGAAGGAAATGGGAAAAAAACAAGCAGTATACTGGTCAGCTTGGAGAGAGGTGAAAAGTTTTGGACATTTAAAGGGATTGCAGGGTATCCACATGGAGATGTCCCATTGGGACCTGGAAACATGGGATGGGAGAGGCTTGGCCCCTCTCTCTGACCCTGGATCCATGAGGCCTTGATTACAGTAGACATTAATTGAGCTCCTACCGTAGGTGCACCATTCCACTGTGCACGATAGCAGCATGACATGCAAAAAAAAAAGCTGGTTTTGAAATAATGTATTATCTATTAATCGTGTCATCTTGCATAAGTGCTTGGCCTACAAAATAGGAATAAAAATACCCACCTTACAACATGGTTGTAGTTATTAAATTAGAGAAGATAAGACTTTGAGCACAGAGACTGGCATATAGGAAAGTCTTTAGAAATGACTGTTCACATTCCCTTTTACAAAATAATCTACTCTAAATTGAAAAATGAAGACTGCCACCTGAAAAGACCAACTATCTTCAATGAATTACCTTTTCTAAGAACCATGTGCTAAATGAGGTCTTGAAAACATTTAGGGAAATAAGTAAATAGCTTGTTGCAGATGTAAATTTTCAAATTTGCTCCTAGAATTATGTCAGGTACATTGGTAGACAGCAATAGAAGGCAAAGTCCCCACCACGGGCATACTTAAAGTCCAGTTGGGGGAATAATACGCTGATGGAAGAGATAAAAGTGAGAGACGCTGTGTTAATAAATGCTGAACAGAGTGAGGGGTGCTCACATGAGGATGAGGCCAGTAGGTATGTGAGAGCTCAGAGGTGGCTCGGTGGGTGCCATTTTTGATGGTGTCATACTAATATAACTTCAGCAAGGAAAAGATTCACTTGCCACAAAGTGTTAATGACACTTACCTTGCGAAGCACTAGGCTAAGCTGAGGATACAGCTGAGAAATGCAACCTCTGACCATGACGAGATCATAAGTGAGTGGAAAATTAGACTCTTGAGCAGACCATTTAGAACACTGTGTAACTTGTGCAGCTGACCAGACAGAGGAGGCCTACATGAGACAGCACTACTTACTTTCTGTTTGATCCTTTTTTTCACCAGGGTCTTTTCACCTAATTCACTTAATGTTTGATGACTACGTGCTCTACCTGTTAGAATCTCTGCACTGTCAGGAGCGGGCCAATGAGCTCATGCGAGCCATGAAGGGAGAGGGAAGCACTGGTAAGCCAGCATTTTCCTGGGAATTGCACCACTTAGTAATGTTATTTGTATCCTTACTTCTGTGCTTTATGTTTCTTTAACTCTGTATCTCAAAGAATTTAGTTACGGTAAACAGGTCAAGTGGTATCAAACCAATCGTGTCTTTTTCCTCTTTAAAGTGGGCATGTGGGCTGGGCATGGTGGCTCACACCTGCAATCCCAGCACTTTGGGAGGCCAAGGTGGGCAGCTCCCTTAAGGCCAGAGTTCGAGACCAGCCTGGTCAACATGGCAAAATCCCATCTCCACTAAAAATACAAAAAATTAGCTGGGTGTGGTGGTGCACACCTGTAGTCCCAGCTGCTCAGGAGGCTGAGGCACAAGAATCACTTGAACCCAGGAGGCGGAGGTTGCAGTGAGCCGAGATTGTGCCACCGCACTCCAGAGTGGGTGACAGAGCAAGACTCCATCTCAAAATAAGTACATAAATAAACAAACAAATAAAGTGGGCATGTGTATATATGCAAATTGCCTTGAGTGCCATGATGGTGATGGGAAACCACTGAAAAGTTTTAAGCAAGAGTGACATCACACAGATTAGAAGAATATTTCACTTTTTAAAGTATCTTAGAGACACTTGCCTTTACATTTGGTTCTAAAAACTTCCCCTGTGTCTATCCACAGCAGAAGTCCGAGAAGAGATCATCTTGACAGAGGCTGCAGAGGCTACGGCGCCAACCCCTTCACCAGTGCCATCGTTTTCTCCAGCAAAATCTGCCCCATCTGTGGAAGTGCCACCTCCCTCTTCCCCTGGTAGCAATCCATCCCCTGAGTACACTGGCCTCAGCACTACAGGTAATGGGAAGTCCCTCAAAAACTTTGGGGAGTGAATGTTTGAAGAAAGGGCTTTCTGCCAGCCTGGGCAACATAGTAAGACTTCATTTCCACAAAAAACTAAAAATTAGCCAGGCATCTTGGCTCACACCTATAGTCCCAGCTACTTGGGAGGCTGAGGTAGGAGGATCGCTTGAGCCCAGCAGGTTGAAGCTGCTAAGAGCCATGATCGCACCACTGCATTCTAGCTTCAGTGATAGAGTGAAGCTAGTGATAGAGTGAGACCCTGTCTAAAAAAAAGAAAAAAAGAGCTTTCTGGAAAAACATTCTTCCCCCACAATCTCCAAAAGATAATGCCAAAACCTAGGTATCTCCTGGATTTGTGAATGACGTACAGGTACTCATTTATTCATTGGTACACATTCTGTATGCTGCTGTTTTCAAGTTGGCAAATTAAGCACATGATACGATCCAAATGTAAGCCAGAAATGATTATAATGCTATATAACATAAATACACAAACATTCTTGAAAACAAGAAAGGGAACTCTCTGAATCAAAAACTGAGCTGCTTTCTTTTTCTCTGGAAAGGGAGGCAGACAGGAAACCTTACACTAAACTATGGCAACCACAAGCAGGCAGGGGCTGGGAATGTGAGTGAGTCTTGAGCTAAGCTAGAGTTGCCGGGCACATGGCATGAGGCTGATGCTACCGCCCACACAGTCCAAGATGTGCACAGGAGTCTCCTAAGATTAATTTACAACTAAGAATTACCCAAGCTTGGATACACACCCAAAAGAAGGCAGAGATCCAAACAGATGTTTGTACATCAGTGTTCCTAATAGCATTTCTCACAATAGCCAAAAGGCAGAAACTACCGAAGCGTCTATTGATGGATGATGGATAAAGAAAATGTGGTGTATATATATAAATGGAATAGTACTGAACCTTGGAAAGGAATGAAATTCTGACTCATGCTACAACTCAGATGAACCTTGAAGGCAGTATGCTTAATGAAATAAGCCAGACACAGAAGGACAAATACATGATTCCATTTATATGAGGTACCTAGAAGAGTCAAAGTCACAGACACAGTGAATGGAATGGTGGATGTCAGGGGCTGGAGGGAGAGGAAATGAGGAGTTAGTGTTTAATAGGTACAGAGGTTCAGTATGCGATGATGAAAAAGCTCTGGAGATGGATGGTGGTGATGGTTGCACAACATGGTGAATATACTTAATGCCATTGAACTGTACACTTGAAAATGGTTAATATTGGGCATGTTGGCTCATACCTGTAATCCCAGCACTTTGGGAGGTTGAGGCAGGTGGATCACGAGGTCAGGAGTTTGAGACCAGCCTGACCAACATGGTGAAACCCTGTCTCTACTAAAAATACAAAAATTAGCCAGGTGTGGTGGTTGGCGCCTGTAATCCCAGCTACTCAGGAGGCTGAGGCAGGAGACTCACTTGAACCCAGGAGGTAGAACCTGCAGTGAGCTGAGATCGCTGCAGTGAGCTGAGATCACTCCACTGCACTCCAGCCTGGTAAACAGAGCAAGACTCCATCTCAGGAAAAAAAAGGAGTTAATATGGATATATGTTACCACAATTAAAAGTCACCCAAGCATCTGTGGAAGCCCAATTCCATGAAGGAGGAACAACAAACTTAAAAACACAGAGTGTCTATATCCAAAGGAATAAAGTTAATGGGACAACCTGAAAAGTATTGTTAAGATGAGAACTAAAAATAAATCAGTCAGGCATGGTGGCTCACCCTGTAATCCCAGCACTTCGGGAGGCCAAGGTGGAAGGATGGTTTAAAGCCAAGAGTTCGAGACCAGCCTGGCCAATATACTGAGACCCCATCTCTACATAAACTTTTTTAAAAAGTTAGCTGGGCATGGTGGTGTGCACCTGTGGTCCCAGCTACTTAGGAGGCTGAGATGGGAGGATCATTTGATCCTAAGAGTTCGAGGCTGCAGTGAGCTATGATCAGGCCACTGTACTCCAGCCTGGGTGATAGCTTGTTTAAAAAAAAAAAGAAGAAGAAGAAGAAGAAAGAAAGGAAAGAAAGAAGAAAAAGAAATCATACCCATGAGAGTCAATATCTTCAAAAGGAAATATATAATTGTTGAAATAATAATTTCAATAGATAGGTTGAATATTAGAAAATTAGATCTAACTGAAAGGGATCAGTAAACCGAAAGACTGAGCTGAGGAATTCTCTGATAATGTGGCAAAAAGAAATACTAAGTATAAAAGTGATGTTGAGAAAAAGGACTGATAAAGTCAGAAATTGCAATATTCATTTAATAAGTGTCCAGAGAAAGAATAGAGAGAAAGTGAAGGTTATAATAGCTGACAGTTTTATAAAATGGAATAAAGACAAGGCTTTTTAGACCAAAAGCTCTCATTGAACATGTGCTGAATAAATGGAAAAATTTAAAAAAATCACCTCTAAGCCCACTGAAGAAAATCAAAGATAAAAGAAATCTTATTAGCTTCCCCAAAGAAAATGCATAGATAACCTCCAAAGGAGAGAAAACCAGACTGATAACAGACTTCTTATCTGCAACATTAGATTCAATATCTGAAACCATACTTTTGAAGTGCAAAGAAAAAAACTGCATTGAAAACTTTGGATCCAGAATCCTATATATGTTTATTCATTTATATATGTACACACATGTATTTTTTTCCCCCTGTGAGGACATTTTATGTGTCAAGTCCTGTGCTGGGAAATAAATAGATTAATATGCCAAGGTCTTGCTACCAAGAGGGAACACAAGGATAAAGAAAAGTACAGAGACAACTGTTATGGAAGGAAGAATGTGGTATATGCAATAAGTGAGATATAAACTAATGCTATGAGGTTCCCAAGGAAGGAGAGATTCTTTGTGGCTGGAAGTATCAGGGAAGACCTCACAAAGATTCCAAGCTTTGTGGAGTGGAGGGCTTGGTCAGGCTGTGATAATTAATTCATTATCTTTCCATCCAAACCTGCTCTACTACCCTCCTGTTACCCAGGCAACAAATACGGGCATCAGCTTCAAATCTTTGCTCCCCCTAAACTCCTGTATTAGTTGGGGTAGGCTAAGCTGGTGTGACAAATAGATCCAAACACAGGTGGAGTTAACAAAACAGAAATCTATTTCATGCTTGAAGGCAGTACTGCTAGGGTATTCAGTCATAAAGGAGGCTCTCTGTAATGCAGCCATTTGGAAACACGTGCTCCTTCAATATTACGCTCCATCATACCCCAGGGCAGTGTTTCCCAAACTGTGATCCAAAGACCAGCAGTATCAGTATCTCTTGGAAACTTATTAGAAATGCTCATATCTGGTCCCGCTGCAGACCCAGTGAATCAGAAACTCTAGGAGCACGGCCCAGGAATGTTGTGCAACAAACTTCCAGGTGATTCTGATGCTCACTAGGTTAAGGACCACAGCCTGAGGGCTTTGTCAAGTCTGCAACCAGCCGGCAGAAATGGAAAAAGGGCATGGAGGATGAAAACCTACTCTCTTAAAAGCCCTGGCCTGAAGGTAGCACACGTCACTCCCACTTATATTCCATCAGCGAGGACTTAGTCACGTGGCCTCATGTAACTGCAAGAGAGGCTGGGAAATGTAGAATAGCATGTACCCAGGCAGGGAAGGGGGAACAGCTGTAGGGGCGACAGCAGGCATTCTCCATCACATTTCCCAAGTCCAGTTGTTCTAATACTAATCTAGATTGATCTGTTCCTTCCCATCCTACTTGTGCCTCTGGTTCAGGCCACCCCCACCTCTCACAGACAACAACAGTGACTCTCAAGCTGATACCCTACCTCCAGACTCCACTCTGTCCTCTCTCATTCTACCCACTAAGTCTCGTTTTCATGAAGCTTGTGCCTCCTCAAAGTGCTGGGGCAAAGAACCCACTGCCTCACTCTAAAAGCCTTAAAGAGTTCTCTTTCTCCAAATCACTTCTCACACTGTTCCTTCTTCTTGGGCTAGCCTCTTTCCACCCTCTGCCTGATAAAATTCTACTCATCTCCTTTGATGTTTCCCTCACCCTCCAAGTTAGACTCTTCCTCCAGACCCTCACAGCATGGACTTAATTATATCCTAATTCTAGTTAGGACTGTTTCCAGAATAGACTCAGAACTAAAGTGTTTGTTGTTGTTGTTGTTGTTTTTGTGGGGGGCCAAATAGGGTCAGATTGCTCCATTCAGGATGTCTTTTATCATTCACTCATTTACTCACGTATCTACCCATTTATCCAAAAAATATTTCTCAGGTGGCTTGGATGTGCTAAACACTTTCAGATAGGTGCAGATACAATGGTGAACAACAGAAGTGTGGTCCCTGCCCCCTGGGGGTTTATGTTTAGAGGTTAAGGTTCTTGATGAACAAACTGACAGTAACAATATAATGTGAGGAGTGCTAGGTTGGAAGAAGGGTCAGAGTATTATGGGAGCATGAAGGAGAGGGGAGAAAAGGTATTCCAAGTAGAGGCAAGAGAGAGCATGTTACTTTCAGGAAACTTAAAAGTATATATCCTGGAGACTTTTGATTAATTCCTTCCCCAGAGTTTCCTCTCTGTGGAACTACACCTACTTAGAGAGGGATTGAGTGGATGCTTAAGAAACTGGAAGGACTTGCTGTCTTGTGTACTAGCCCATAAACTCAGTGGCCCTCTGTCAGGGACAGCTAAGGAAATTGGATTCTTCAAAGTATTGAAAAGTTGGGTTGTTGAAAAATGGCATTAGATCAAGCTTTGATTTCACTTCACGTACACAGCTAGTGAGCCCTCTTCTGTGGAAATTTAGATGTGACATCACCACATTTGTTTATATAGATGCGCCTCAAACTGTATTTTGTTTTCTGCTTTGAGGAGGAAGAATGTGATCAGGCTCCCACCTCCCTCCCATTTTCTTTCCATAGTGGGTTGTTGTAGTTCCCGCTTAGAAGGCTCAGAAAAAGTAAGTGTAGTGAAAAGAATGACTTTGTTCACTGAACATTAAAAGGAAAGAGAATTC